TCCCCCGCGGGGGGTGGCTTGCGGCCCCCCCCCATGACCCATTATTTACCGGAACCTGGTTGGCCATCCCCCACACCCTAAACCCCCAACCCCCCCCCCCCCCTTCGAAAACACGACAACAACTCTAACACTTAACCATCTGCTCACCTGCATATCGGTCGGCCGGCTATTCCAGGGCACGGCGCGACGTCGCTGCACAGCCTATCTGCGTCGCCCGCGGACCGCGGTGCCGTTACTGCTTCAGACGATGGGCGCGCACGGTATTGGAACGCGCCGGCATAAGAACAGCCGAGAAAGAGGAGTGTGGGGAGGGGGGAGGGAGATGGGTCGACGGAACGAATACACGTTCATCACATCCGGCTTTTTTGTCTTCACACCATCCTACCCTACCCTTTCTCATCCAACTCTCACTCCTGCCATCATGTACCGCCCAACCACTGCAGAGTTTTCTCTCTATTTTTTTTTTTTGCGACAACGGAGCCCCTTCCTCCATTCTTTTATCGTTGGAACAGCTGGGGTTTCCCATCAATGCCGAATAGTGGGCAGCAGCGACGCCGTCGTTACCCCCAAACAATGAGCGTAGGGCTCATATCGGGTGGCTGCATTTTTTAGGCTGCGTAATCCAGGGTTCTCCCGTGGGCCTTGGAGACCCGCTTGGAGACCCACCGCCCCTTCCAGCTGTAGAAGTGAGCCAGCGAATTCGCGCTGCAACGTTCCCGCTGACTATTATGGGCCACTGATAGGTGATGTGCAGCAGCTAACCTGTGTGGCCTGGCCTGGCCTTAAGGAGTCAAACCGCCCACGCAAATAGCGGAGCTTCTTCTACTGGGTGGGATCCACAAAGTCGTTGAATTTCTGACCAAGCTCTTACAACTGTTTGCTGTTGACGACGCCATACCATGCATCCCACCAGATGTATGCACTTAGCATACCGAAAACATGGCTATGGCAGCAAAGCAGTCCTTTATTGACGCCGCTCATGGTTCTTCAAACGCGCGGTTTAGAGTGTTAATTCCGCAACTCGACCATCTCCCCCCAAAACAAGAAACTGTGAGAACCGCGGGTGGCTGCAGACGAATAAAAGGAGGGGCTTGCATCCTTAGGCAAAGGCCCGGGACGAAGACTGGCACCTATGAATCAAAAAAAAAAAAGGATGGAGGCCATCAGCCATATGCAAATACATGGAGGCGGAAGGGTGCCGATCTTTAGGTGCCGCTATCTCTGCCACTCAACTGCCGCAGCATGTCCAGGTAGAACTGGCAAGCCGAGATGTCATTGGTGTTCTTCTCGAGGCAGGCCGCGAAGGCCTTCTGGTCGGGCTCGCAGGCGTTCGCGAACTGCGACTGCTGCGGGGCGGCAGCGGGCGCAGCAGCGGGCGCGGCCTGCTCGGGGGCGCGGGAAGATCCGCCGCCAAAGAGGCCAGAGAGGCCGGCGCCGATCGTGTGGCCGACAGCGGAGCCGACGGCGACACCTGCGGCGGTGGAGGCCATGTTTGCGAAGAGCGAAGGCTGCTGCGGGGCGGCCTGGACGACGGCGGGAGGGTGTGGGGCAGCGGCGACGGGGGCCGGCGGAGGCGGCGCGGCGCGGGTCGGGGCCTGGGCCGGACGGGCGGCGGGGCGAGAGGCCTGGCGGCGGGGCATGATCTCAGTTGCTGTCTGTGGTGGGAAGAGTATTATTCGGCCGTTGTGTGTTCCGTTTTGGGGATCACGTTGGAAGGGGGGTCGACCGACATTGAGGGGAGGGAGAGGCAGCAGTAAGAAAAGAGCACGATGCTCCCCGAGAGATGGACCCAGCGTCGCGCCAACAATGAAAGAGGCGAACGGTCAACGGAAGAGGTGTGTGTGAGGGGATGCGATCGCCAAGGGTAGCTACGTCAGTAGCGCGCGTGGAGGGTAAGATAGAAGGCATAGTGGCTGCCTAGGAAGCTGAGGAGGAGGAGAGGAAGCGCAGAGGGATCGGGATGCGTAATAGAGGGGAGGGTGAGGGTGAGGGCAGTGCAGGGAGCAACGTGGCGAACCTGCGCGGAGCCGGCGGAGGTGGCGAGTGGGAAGGAGAACGATAATCCTTCTTGCGGATTCTGGCGATCGTGGGGGAAGGAGTGGCAGAATGTCACGTGGATGGGAATATTATCTAATTACATTCAGCCATCTCGCGACGGATGGACTCGTGACCATCAACAATTGAAGTCTCTATGGTACTAGCCAAAGTTGCGGAATATTGTAGGGATGGGAGTACTATGTGCTATGTGCAAAATAGACACAAGGCTAGTCTCGCATTTTATTATTCCGGTTGACAAGCAGGTCAAGTCCAGTCAGTCAGTCGTCCACAGCTGTCACAAAACGAAGTGACCATCCTGCATTTCTTCAGAGGAGGGACGAGATCGAAATATACCCTCTTCCCTTCACCGCCGTCGACTTGGCAGTTGGTACAGAGCGGAAAAATATGAAGCGAGGGAGGGGAAGGGGAGCCACAGGTGCACTCTATGTATGGATATGTGACAGTTCGGAGAGGGCCTGAGTGACGAACCAGAGATGGCTCGCCTGGAGCATACGTAATTTCTCAGGATCAGATATCCAGTTGGAGAGCTTTCCAACCGGCCGCATGGCGGCGCAGAGATCCCAGGCGGGGAGGCCAGAGTAGTCGATACTCTGCTGCAGCGCCCGGTATCGCCGCGTAAACTCCTCCATGGCTTCGCGTCCAAAGGCCCACAGTATCTCCAGGCGAGCGTTAGCCAGATCGGACAGAGGATCCCCCAGAGCAGCGTCCTCCCAGTCGACTATGGCGGCAAGATGCCCGTCGTCACGCCAGAGCAGGTTGCCAGGCCAGAAGTCACCGTGCAGCAATGCTGGAGGATTACAGCGGCGGGGAGGCCAGACGGCCGACAGCGCGTCTCGGATACGGCCTTCGCTGAGCGTGTCGTCGAGCGTGGCGGGCTGCGTCCGGATCCGCTCGGTCCAGGCCTGCTCCATGTCCGGCAGAAAGGCGAGGTCCACCAGGAGGGCGGGATCGAGCGTATGGATGCTTGCCAAGTGAGCGGCCATCTGCGGAACAAGCACGGGAGTCTGCGCTGGGTCGAAGATCGTCTCGCCCACGACGAACTCGACGACGACATAGGGGCTCCCGAGGATCTCTGCCGACTGATCGAAGAAAACCGGTTTCGGGACCGCAAGACCAGCAGCATGCAGAGTGCGCAGCAATCTGAACTCGTCGGCTGCAATGCGCGGGTTGAGGCGCAAGTCGTTCGCTCCGTGGCGGCGCACGACCATCTTTTTTCGCTCGCCAGACGAAAGTACCCCCTCCAGCACCGTCACCAGTGCCGAGACGCCACCCTCGAGCGTGCGGCTTTCAAGGAACGTGGCACCCGGATCGATCTTCTGTAGAACGCACGCAAAAAGGTTGGTGTCCTGGGAGAGGGTCATCGTGGGGGGCAGCTTGGGGAGCACTTTTTAGCGGACACCACGTGGTGTCAGACGGCTGGTGGCCATTGAAATAACAAAATTATCCGTAGAAGCGAACTGCATGAGCATGCTACGGCCTGTGGAAAGCAGGCAGACAAGGCATCTGCCATCCAACAAAACGGTCTTGGGCAGGAGTGAGGTGGGGGGGTGGGGAGAGGGTATGTGTTGGGATTTTTCATCCCTGGTAGCGTTCGAACTACCATAATAAAGGCCGAAATTATGCTAACTATAATTAATAAAATATTAATAATTTTTTATCGATTTGTTCGGTTCCAGGTCGTCTAATGGTCAGGACAATTCATTTACCAGAATTGGTCGGGGTTCAATTCCCCGCCTGGGCGCCATTCTTCTTGATTTGGCTCACGCTCTCCCAGTTGTTTTACAGACAGACTCACCCATACTTTCATATTGGAGAAACGAGGGTTGAAGAGGAATCCGAGCGCGTATTTCTTTTCCTTCCAAGTGTGTTGGTTCAGTTGGAACAACTAAATTTTTTATTCCACGACACTATTATAATTTCTGTTCCAGGTCGTCTAATGGTCAGGATAATCTGCTCTCGCCGGATTGGTCGGGGTTCAATTCCCCGCCTGGACGCAAATTTTTTTCACCCTTATTTCTCGCCTGCCAGTACTTACCAAGATTGAAAAAGGGAAGGTTTAGGTCCAGTGATTTTTTTTATGGTTTTTTTTTCTTTGGTTTCTTTTTTTCCCGGTAGGGCGAGTGTTGCACACTTGCAGAATTTCCAAACGAGGTCCACGACGCCAGGCATCACTATGACGCGATCTTCCTGTGCGTACCATCCGGTTGTCAATTATTCGGGCGACGCCCAGCCGCGATGGCCTGCCCGGCCCCCTCAGTTTCGGCATGCGTTCGCGATTACCCGAGACCAACAGTATGAAGGTACCACTACACGACGTAGGCGAAGCCCTAAGTCCGCTCAGTGCGACCGAGCCATTCGTTCGAGCCAGCTGGTGTCCGGAACTTATGATGTCCGGGTTTTGAGGCGGGGGGGGGGGTGCAGACGATGCAGCGCGCCGACGGCGTCGCCGGCGATGGCGTCGTTGGTAGTGACGATGACGGAGCAGGAAAAAAGATGGGCAACCAGTGCCGCATGAAAGCGCCACCCCTCAGCCGCGTCACCCCACACACAACACCAAAATTTCGCGAAGCACGCGACACAGGCAAACAGGCAGGCACGCACCAAGAGAGGAGGACAGATAGATAGATACGGGCTCGATATCGGCCAAGAAGGCGTGGATGGGTGTCACGACTACGACGCGAGTTGATGAGATAGGAGAACAAGGAGGCGGAGGGTCCACGGGCATGTGGGTCGAGTGAGAAGGGGAGCTGCCCATCAAACAAGGCAAAAGGCGCGCGCATGAAGGAGCGGCCTACTGAAATTAAGGGGGGGTTCGCGGGGGGGAGGATGGGCGTACAAGGCCAGCAAATGGCCGTGGGCACAGGGCCGGTGGTAGTGGTCCTCCCAGATTGGCTGTGGCAAGGAGGGTCACCCCCCACGCCGCTCTCTCCTCCCTCCACTGCCCGCTGCCTACTGCCCGTGGTGGGCAGGAGGCAGGCAGGCGGGTGGTCGGCAGGCAAGGAAGACAGACAGATAGCGAGTGACGCAAGAAGGGCGGGGGAAAGACGGATGACTGCCAAGAACAGACCGGTCCAGGTGGCTGAGCATCAACCAGGCTTACAAAAAAATGGCAAAAGTCCAACAGGCTCTAACGCCCGTAACTTGGAACACAGTCCATGGCTGCGCATGCCCACAAGGTCAACGCTGCCGTCACGAGGACCCCCTCCACACATTTCCCCCCAATCCCCGATAGAAAGTTCGCCTCTCCAACCATCACACCATCGTCTAGAAAAGGGAGTGGGCGAGATTGGAAGTAGGAAGCAGAGGTGGTGGGAAAACGACAGCTGGGAAGCTTGCGATCAAAGACGCCCCCCCACAGTCAGATCGCGGCCGGCAAAAAGAGTGGCGTGTAGATCGCGACGTTGGCAGGGATTGTTCAGGGGATAGAAGAAATGGGTACGCGGGCAAGCAGCATAGACGGTTGTGTAGGAAGGATCAGGGCGAGAGCGGGGCGAACGAACATACGTGCAACGTCGACTCTTGTAGACCAGGGCTTTAGTCGAAGCGAGACGGGCCAAGTTGGAGGGCTTCAGGAGAGGAACACGAAGGGAGTGAGCGTCAAAGAGGCCAAGCCGGGAAGGAGAGGAGGCTAGATCGCAGACACAGTCCCAAGTGAGGCAGAAACGGCGTGGATGCTCGAAGTTATGAACAACCTTCAGGATGAGGGAACGTAATGGGGAGATCGAAGGGAGAGATGCGAGAAAAGAAAGGGGTGTGGGCGAGATCTGGAATGGGAGGACTGGGTCGTGACGGATAAGCTTGCGGCGAAGGTGTGCCGACAAGGACGGCGATGCAGAGGACCTAAGGCGCGCGGCAAGCAAACAAGGAGCGGAAGGGGCAAAGGACGATTGTGGGGGAGAGAGGCGGGACGATGAGGGAGGTGAAGGGGGTGGGGGAGAGGATCGAGTGGGGGGCGGAAGAACAAGGACCAAAAAGAAAATAACAAGGGGCCCCCCTTCTGATTCAAAAGAGAAAAGAATCAAAACAAATGAGCTGTATGTACACACTCGGATGTCATCGAAATGCGCCGAGAGCAAAATTTGCGCTCGTTTTGCCACTCGATCCGCGATCTGTCTGCTCCCAAGCCGCCGTTGCAAATATAGTTGCGGGGCATCCAATTTTTGGTGGCGTCGGGCTCAGCAGGAGGGAGGGCTGCCGACTGAGTGGTTGTATCCGACAGACTTGGCGTGCTACGCCACCTGTGTCTCACCTCTCTGACGTATTTTGGTGGCCAAAATGAAAATGAAGAATATAGAACAAGCAGCTTCATTTCTGGGGCAGCTTGCCGTCACCCCACATGGCTACCGAAATTCGGGACAGTGTGGGGTTGGGGAGGCGCGCGATCCGCTGCAGATTCCGACAACGGTTCCTATGTGACACAGCATGAATGCCAGACTCCCGCCAGCCACTCTACATATTGGATAATGGCGAAAAAAGCAGAATCCCTGGAGCTGACCGACGAAAAAAAACCGATGGGGTGGCAAAGAAAAACTCCGGAAAAAAAAAGCTGAAATAGCGAAATGTTCCTCCTTCACGCTTCCTTTGCGATGGGGGACGGTGGACGCGAAGGCAGGCTGGCAGACGGGTGGCTATCTTCGCTCGCCACCGTTGTCGTAGTCGTGGTGCGGGCTGCAGCAGCCAGTTGCGCCTGGTACGCCTGGTCCTGCACAGGGTCATAGAAGTGGTAGTGGCCGGCCTCGTCGTAGTAACCTGGGAACTGGGAGGTAGCCGCTCCACCATCAACTCCAGGATATCCGTATGCTGACGCCACCGCAGGGTCGTACGCGTACGCCGCAGCCTGCTGCTCGTACGCAGCGTGCTGTGCATACGCACCGGCAGCGGCAGCGGCAGGCACCACAGCGGCGGGAGGGGGCCGGGGCAATGACGCCCCTGGTGGTGGCGGCGGCGGCAGAGACTTTTGCGGGGCGGCAGTGGCCCCACCGGCGCCTGTCGAGCGGACTGGTTCGTCCGAGAACAGGCTGTTCGCCGCATCTCGGCGGCGACGGCGCTCCTGCTGCTGGTAGCGGGAGTACAGCAGGCCGGCAGCGCTGAGCACGATGACGCCGAGGATGCAGCCAACCACAATGCCAGCGATGGCGGCGGTGCTGAGCCCGTTCGACGCCGAGGTAGAGCCGGTAGTCTGCGCATTGGACCCGGTCGTCGAGGTCGCCGTGGAGGACGAGCTAGAAATCGCCGTTGTCGAGCCCGTCGATCCATCCTGCAAGGAGGTCGACGTCGTTGATGAGCTTGAGGTGCTGCTGCTGCTCCTGCGAGAAGAAGATGAAGAGGACGAGCTGCTTGAGGTACTGTTGGTGCTCTGCGATCATGAGTGCGTCGGGGAAGCGAGGGGAGGAGGATCGTTAGGAGTATATCAACCGAAGTACACCATTCAGTTCTCCTGGCGCTCCCCACGTGACTTTCCACTCACCCCCGATATCGTGAACAGGCTCGAGTCGGTTGTGCCCGTAGACGACAACCCCGTGCATATTAAGAGACAGTCCTCGTACGCCACGTCCACGCTTAGGGATGTGGCCACGGCGGCGTCTGTGGGGATTTGGAAGGTGCAGGTTGCCTCGTAGCACTTGGTCGATCTCGCCGTCGTTGTAATCGATGAGGGACATGTAACCGACGTGCTATCGCTGCTCTGGTCGCATACTGTCGTTGATAGCTGCCCCGTCTCATCGACCAGGTCGAACTCGGTATAAAGCGTGTAGCCTTAGGTACGGATTAGAGAAGTGAAAGGAAAGATCAATGGCAGAAGCCAAGCGGAAAAGTGGGGGGATGACAAAGGGAAAAAACGATCGGCTTGGTGAGGATACGTAAGGCAGGATACGGGATCCTGGAGGATTTGGAAACGTACTGATTTCACTCTCGAGGATGTAGAAGGTGGCGGTCAGAGAGTCCCCAACCGCAAGGTTGGCCGTGCTCGAGAGTGAGACTACTATAAGTTCCAAGCCGATCGATAGCCAGAATGGAAATAAATTAGTTAGGCGGGGAGCACTTCAGGATTCCAAGGGTGATTCGGCGCATGCAGTGATCGCAACCGGGGCTCCACCTCACCAGAGGTCGTCATGGTCAGCTCTCCACACTGCCTTGTTAGGCGAAAATCGGGAGCAGCGGACAGAACA